ATTTTTCGAAATATTTGAGGGCAAAGTTGGAAAAATGGGCGATTTTCCCTTATAAAACGCATTGGAATGCTTCCTCCGCTTGGTAAAAATCACCCATTACTTAACTTTGACCTCAAATATTTCGACAAATCCAAAGCATCGCACAAACTGCCTGAGGACACGTTACTTCCATAGACTTGGACTATTCAATTTTAAAAGGTCATCCAAATCGGAAAGTTGCACTTCACACCATCGCATTGTTAGCAAACTTGCGAAGATTAAGAAAAATTGAAAAAATGAAGGGATTCGCAAAATCTTACTAGCCAAATTTCGCAAAGCTGTACAAGCAGTTCAGCAATCCTATTTTAACAGTATTTGCAAACTTTATGAGCTTGGGAAATGATCTTACGAAATAGGAACTTGCCCAATTGCTGGGTAAATTTGCGCCCTTAAAAATCCCATGGTTTTCCACCTAAAGTTTTGCGAACTATCGGAAATTTCGAAAAGCTTCGCAAGTGATGTTTCTATGCTCAATTTTTCGAGGTGAATTCCCATCAATGTTTCATTTCCTGTTTTCTTTTCTAGACATAATTCTCAACTTGTCGAAAAAAATATCTGCCAAACGGCCCATAGATCTGATTGGATTATGCCTCAACATTATCGTCCAGTACTGCTCAGTATTTCCCTTATTCCTGGTCACATTCCTCTTTCACCTTGGCACCGACCCAATTACACTATTCTATTCAAATATATGTGCCAAATTTGTGACAACTCCAAATTTTTTTATGTACATAACTTCGCGCGTAATTAGTTGTATATTATTTAGTGTGGCCATATTGGAAGCTTCTAGATTCATGTCGAGTGCAATTGTTATCAACACAGTTGGCGGGTATTTAATTGTTGATTGCATTTTGAACCTGGATAAAATTTTTACACGAAGAAAAAGTGATCGATATGATGGAATTTTGCTTCAGTATGAAATTTTGCAAATAATTTTGCAAGCTACGTACGAAGTTACGTCGTCAGCAATAATACTTTGCATGACGAGTGCCTTTGTGTGTGGAATCTGTTGTAATTTTGTAACCCTTAAATTGTACGATAAGTTGCCAATGACGATTTATTTGACTTTACTGACTACATCAGTTTTTCTTCAGTTGACGACTAAACTAATGTTAACCTTAATTATAGACGTGTATGAAAAGGGTAAAGTATTAAGGGGTAAATGGCTACTGGAGTTAGGGAAGGTGAACAATATAAAGTATTTTAAGAGAAAATTGGCCAGTGAGAGGGCGGTCGCCTTGTACGGGGGGTTAGTAGGGTTTAACGTGTATAAATTGGATAAAGGTGTGAAGCCAACGTATTATTTTGAAATTGCTAGTTACACGATTACCTTGTGCTTGTCGGTGCCATTGGTGGATTGAGTTTGACTAAGGGATGACAGTTAGTATGCACTAATTAATGTGTATATATATAAAAATAATTAGATATGAGTGGAATACAGAATTGTTACTATGTTAAAAAGATTTTCGGCAGTGGGATACGAACCCGCGACCTCCCGTTTTCATGACGGATGCTCTAACCATTGCACTATACGGATACTAGGATAATGTGACAAATTCTTTCATCGAATTGTTCGATGATCCTAGTCAACAGGATTTTTGGACTATCAAATAAACTAGGGCTGAAATTCTGAAATGGCAAGTTTAAAATAAGTACGAAATTTCAAGTTTTGAAAGTGGGAACAAAACACTTAAGGAGCTAGAAACGGGGCGTAAATCAGGTGTGAACAAGCTGGCACAAAAAAACGAGATTTTGTTTTGTCGAAATTTATATAATTATGTCCACCCTGAATTTATTTTTCAAATTTCATCACTCAATTTATTTACTACAGGGTGTTAATAAAGTCCGATCCCATTTTTCCTGTAAAAAAGTGAAGGCTAGTATAAAAAAAAACTACCCGTGATACTTACAAAAAATGTTCGACATATTTACCTTAGTATTTGGTCTTGTTACCATTTACTTTAACCATGCCCTCAACTCTTTGTTTAAGGCTCTGTGCTAATTTTTCCAATGTGTCTGTGGGAATCGAATTCCATACATCTTGAACTTTTTTTACTAGCTCTTCCCTCGTCCGGGGTTGTGGTTCTTTGCATACATTTTCCTTAAGTATGGACCACAGGTTCTCCAGGGGATTCAAATCTGGGCTGTTTCCGGGCCACACCCCCTTGCTCCAGACCGTTGAAACTTGCGTCTTGATGAGACTCAAACTCGCTTTTGCTGTATGGGCTGTAGCACCATCCTGCATGAAAACTATTTTTCTTTCATTCGGAAATATTTCCTTGTTCCCCATGCTATCGAAATAGATAGGTAATATTTTTTCCATATAATGCTTTGCATTGACTGATTGGCCTTTTGGTATGATATGTAGAGGGGTCACGCAACGTGCACAAAATCCACCCGCTACCATAACTTTAAGCCCGAATTTTGGGATCGCTCTTGATGGTACATCCGATTTGTTTTCTGTCCTGTAACGAACATTTTGTTGGTTCAATTTTGGATATAGTTCAATAATAGATTCGTCAGTCCAAAGGATGTGACTGCGCAATTCTTCACCAAGTCTTTTTTCACTCAAATGGGCACTTTTCTGAAGGAGTTCTTCAAATTTCAGACGGTCATCGATATATTTTTGTGACATGAGAGGTTTTTTTGGTTAGTTTGTAAGCTGTGTGACCCCACTTCGTAGTTTTCACAAATTTTTGCACTGTCACACAGTTAATTTGCTTCTTCCTCTCTTTATAGCGTTTTGAGTCATTTAACTCCCTTGCTCAATTACGTAATGAACTACCGGTTTTCTTGCAAAGTCTGTTTTTAATCATTCTTTTTGTGGTAGGTGACACCTTTCTGGGTCGCCCTGGTCGCTTTTTGTCGTGGACAAAATTTTTATTCTTCCATTTCCAAACAGTTCTGCGGCTGCAGCCCAATTTTTGCACAATTTCTGTAGGTTTAAGCCCCTGCTGATGCAATGTTTGTATCTCAACTCTAAGATGCTCATGACTTACACGTTTAGTTGTTCCTCCCATGGTAAAAATTTGAAATAAATAACTTCACTGGTTCAAAAGTTCCAGCTGAATTTGTAACAACCACGCTCCAAAAAATGCATGGGATCGGACTTTATTAACACCCTTTACATAACACACTGGTCCGGATTACATGATTTACTTGCCAAAACCTATAACTCGCGAACATCTCAATTTTTTCGAATTCTGCTTCCGGCAATTAATTCATGAGGGTCGAAGGGGTCTGAGCTATGCAATTTTCACTCAAAGCCACGCCCTTCGGGGGGTGTGGTCAAAGGTAACTAATTGTTTTATCGCGTTAACCCATCAAGTGGGGTGTCATTTTAAAGCTCTCATCAATGTCTATACAATTCAGGATAATATCAGTATAGTTGGGGCACACCCACCGTCTGGGGGTGTGGTCAACATACAAATTTGAAATTTTTGTTTCGACAAATCCGAGTATATATTTTCATTAAATGACAATATTCTGTAGTTTTGGGAAGTATTTCTTCCCTCTGAACTCATTAACACAGAAAATGGGACAAAAATCAAAAAATTTGTCGTGCCTCCAAATGGGGCCGCAGCTTCATGGGACTCCTCCCTTCGTAATAATTTTTTTAGAGGGGTGTATTTTACAATTTTCCCTTCCTCAGGGAATGAGGAAGATGTGCTAAAGTAATTGTGTTGTTTGGAACACTGGGAAATTTCCTACCAGCCTATGATTGCAGGACTCCAAATATCCTGCTTATGCCAATTTGCATTTGCATAAATTCAAATTTCTCTCTGTATATAATTCGGGCAGCCGGTGGCAGCAGTTTTTGTAGATGAGATATAGGGGATTAAGAGCACATTTAAAGTTCTTTGAAATACCACAGGACTAGACAGGATTTTCAACTTGAAGTTTTTCCTATTTAGCCCAATGTTATAAGACAAGTTTGACCATACGCCTCTCCATAACCAATTGAACAAATTAAATGAAACTTTCCATAATTGTTCCTCTATGTCAAAGGTACTAAGGAGGGTAGTTTGTTTTCGAATCGGTGAGTTGAGGTTTTGGCCAAGGAAATCATCATTCCGTACAAGTGTGGCATAAGTATCAATCACGCACACAATTCCTACACATATTTCACGTCGGAAAAGCTGAGTACAAAGGAGTCGGACAATGAAATCACTAACCTTAAAAGATATCGTAACCTAAATCTAAGAAAAATGAAGAAAATATATACCCAGAATTGATTTTGTAGCCAAAAAATGTTAACTCAACTTCAATGACTTTATGAAATGATTTCATGCGCGAAATATTTCGCCCAGTTATCAATTTCTAATTTTGATTGAAAAACCATCACATGCTGAGTCCATGGAGTATAGATTCCCAAAGTTTGGATTTGACGTCTGATTCATATAAACTATATGTATTAAACGATATACAAATATAATAGGTTAGGTCAAACATAAATTGCATGCATATAAATAATAAACAAAGACGATTTGAACGATGCTTTGGACATTAAAGTTATAAAATTGTGATTATAATCATAAGCGGGCGGAGTACAACCAAACTAAGGGTACCGTTTCACTCACAAAAATCACCTTTACAAGCTGTGAAAATCTTAACAAATTATACGTTACTAATCGTACTGAAGAAAACAGCTTGCTAGGTGAAAAGTGTTAATGGCGACCATTTTATACTGTATCACTACTTATGACTCACCCCATAAGAGTTGATTTGTAAGATTTTGACAAATTTTACACCAATTTTTTACATTCTTGAAACGAATAAGCTTATGCATCAAAACCACAAATTATTTATGCACAAATATGGCAAACTTTATTCTGCCATAGATAAAATTCACCCACAAATCCAGCATCATAAGCTAAAGGCGGGCTGCAAATGCTTATAGAGTCTATAATGTAGACTTTTGCATGATGCGGCACCAAAAATAAAAACCAAGATGACAATTTTTATTAAAGAGCTAATTTGGACCGTAAACGAGGCAACTTGTTTAATTATCGTCATAGTCAAATTTTCAAAAAAAATCCAAGTAATTATACAGATTTGGTTAATATATATACATATGTTTTTATGGAATTATGTACATATTTCAGATCTCACTTTTGAGCCGTATTTATTCGTAACATCTGGGAAATGGGCATCCTCCACCAGCCCAGGGGAAGCAAATCATATGGTTTCCGCCATTTCGGCAATAAACGTTCGGAATTTGTCCGCCGAACGGGCAGTGGCAGTGACCGTTAAGTTCACCCCCACACTGACACTGGCAACCTCGATGCGGGTAGTGCCGGGCACACATGCCCTCGGTCGGAGCAAACATCCAAGTCAGGGTGACCAAGAGGACACCGACCAGTGACCATGGTTTCATCATTTTACCGTTACTGGTCAATAGTTGGAGGCAAGTGGTGAAAATTACCCTGTAAAAATCGTACAAAAGTAGATATGTTGCGAAACCAATTGGAAATTCATTACCCTGACTTATCAATCTCAACAAATTTTAAAAGATTTTTTTTGGGGTGAGCATTTATTTTAAATTTTTGTTGTACCAGAAATCCGTGTGTTGAATTTCTTAAAACGCATTTATACCTCAGATTTTTACCCTTTTTGAAGGAGGAAATCTCAGAAAAATTCGACCACGTAGAAAAATTTGGCTTAATATGCTCACGACAGTTCACGTAATCTTTAATTTTCTGACTGCAAATTTGTCGTTCAGAATTTTGAAATAAGTGTTCATGGTCGATACATGATTAAAAATTTGTTGGACTTACCAAGCTTCGATTTGCGTTGTGATGTATTTAGTTATTGATAATTTTATCTTTTCTTCCGTGGTATGAATAAATTTCGAGTTGGTTTTGAGATTGCTTTTATACCGAGAGATTTATCTCCTCGATATCATCGAGTTTAAGTTTGGTATGTAGGACGGATTTCCGTCCACCGCAAAACAAATTAATACCCGGAAACTGTGGGTGTGGTTTTTGCAAAGTGCAATACTCAGGAAACGATTCGTCAATTTTGAGGTTATCATGGTTTGCTCAGAATTAGGAGACGAATTTTACAACAAGATTTTTTAATGAACAACGCACGAATATATTCCAAATAATTAGTTTCATCATAAATTTTATCGTCAATTACATATAATTTTTAAAACTATTGAGGCGACGTTTTCTCGACAAGGCTTTGCTCATTTTGGCCGTTATGGCTTGAAACTAAGCCAGTGCTTGACTTCAAAAATACAACCAGAGATTGGGGCATAATTACGTACACTCTAAACAAAGTTTTAATGAATCATTACTGCGCGGAGTGCATGTATGACTCTACCGCGATAGTAATGATTTGGTATTAAAACAATACTATATGGTACAAAAAGTAACACAAATTAGTGTTAAAATTATTACCAAATCAGTGTTATTTTATTACTAAATCTATACCAACATGATGTAAATTTTTAATTCCGTCACAGTAGAGTCATACATATATCTACTCCGCTGTTTTTTATTACCAAGTTGCTAAGAATGTATTTATACATTGTTGGAAACGTGGTTGCTCATAATAATTTTTTTTGTACGGAAAATTTCTATCGGTTTTATTCTACAGAACGGTACATTTGTGAATAATTTGGACCTGCATATTTTTATGCGAAAACCTATCTGCATAAAACTTCTTTGGGGAAAGAGGGGCATCTTTTTTTCAGAAAGTCATTCAAATTTTTATTCAAGCAATATGAGGTAATATTTTTTATATATTTCATGCATTTTCTTGCAGTTTTTTGCACCTCGCATTTCTTGCGGTTTATAGTTTGGAGTGAAAGAAATGTAGCAAATCTTCAGAAACGAAGATTGCCCAGTATTTGACAAAAATTCTGCCTGACGGCAAATTAATTAATCTCAAACCTACCGCAAGGAAAGCAATGCAAACGTGGTAAATATTTATGCAGAATATTCAACCACAATTGAAGTTGGTCAACAGGCAGATAAATATTTGTGTTAATTTCGGTGCAAGCAAGTGCACTCGTTATTGATGGAGTCATCACTTAAATATTTACATATTAATTAATATTAATATATTAACATATTCATATTTACATATTAGCATAGTTAGATATAGTTATATGTATCTATATCAAACCATTAATGCAGGGTTCGCTACTTTTAAAGTTACCACAGTTTTTTTCAAGTCTATTACATATTATCAAACATGCGAAAACATGATTGAAATTTGCAAGGGGTTAAACATATAAAATAAATAATTACGTTGAAATTATCAATTTTATCATTTAATTTCATAACAATAAATAATTGTCATATGCACTTCCATCTCACCTTCCACCCAAATAAAAGACTTATTTTCCCCAAGGGTTGCTTCTCCCAGCATTGGCTAAAAAATTCTATTCTTTCCGGGGCAACCCTACCTAGTTGTTATCTCATACAGTGTTTTAAATTTTACCACTTCGGTTGATTTTTACCATCACAGTGGTAAAAAGTGATAAAAAGTGGTAAAATGATAAAAAGTGGTATAAACTGTTATCAAGTGGTAAAAACTCAAGATTGGTTAATTTACAGTGAGGGAAATCCAAACTAAATGATACTCGTAATAGTACGTAAATATCCGATAGTTTAACATAATATTCCTTATCTTGATCATCATTAAATAAATTATTTGTGTTAAATTATTGTGAACTTTTGTATAGAACAATTTGTTTCACAATACCCCAATACGGTTTTTACCACTTAATACCGCTTTATACCACTTTGCCAGTTTTTAGCTCGGTGGTAAATACCGGTAAATACCAGTATTTACCAGTGACATTTACCATTTGGTAAATACCACTTTAAACACTGATCTCATATCATCCAAGGGCAGGCACGTACTAGTACATTATCAATTACTTCTTTGCCCCTCGGTATAAATAAATGTCATGTTGCATACGCTCTTAGCAACTTGGTAATATATGCACTCCGAGCAGTAGTGATTCATTAAAATTTTGTTTAGAGTGTATTTATTTCCAACTCGGCTCAATGTCACCTTACTGCTTGAGACACAACCCACAAATTACGTGACTTTGACTCCGACAATGACTCAACCTTGGACATGATTTAACTAATTAAATTAAGATAATAGAACTGCTTTTACAAACACAAAATATAATTGATTCCAGAAGGATTTGAATGCAAAATTGAATTATAATGTTCAACAATGATACGTTTTGTTCCCTCGTTCTCATTTATGTTATGGAAATTTATTATTATCTATTCTTTGATCGGGTCTGATATAAAACGTGGTAGGCAGGCGATCATTCCAGTATCTTGTAATTTCAGAAGTTGTGTTAAATTTTGGAAAAAATTGCATCCAGCGTTTCTCGTCCTTGTTGCAATTTTCTTCTCAATGGACAAAGCACTTAAGCACCACGTGCAAGGACAAGTGTTGGCAATACTTGCAATGCGAGAACAGCTCGTACAACTATGTCGACCAACCAGGCGCTGTGTCATTGTGTACTAACAAAGGACACTCAAGACCTGTCGTTCGTGTCTAGGGTACCCACTATGTTTTTTAGAATCTATTAGGACCCTAAATGAAGGATCCATTCACATTTCAGTGCAACACTCATATTTGGCGCCGTGGCGTAGCGCCAGATTCGCCAAATTTGTAGGTTTTTATTTTTAAAACCGCCATAACTTTTGAAATCATGGGCGGGTTTCCAAAAGAATTTCCAAAAATCATGCGAAATAGTTCAACTTTCGTATGCAATCAAGTTTTTCAAAATATTGATTGTTTCAACTTTTGTCAAAATTTTGAGATTTTTTTTACACGTGGAAATCTTAAAAATGTCTTAAAAACAAAAATTCTACATCATTATTTCTTTCTTCAAATTGTTTACCTTTGTGATCATTTTAAAATCATTTTAGTGCAAAATTTTGAAAATCCCACAGAAACTGCAAAAGTTATGGAGGTTTGAAAATGGTCGAAAACGAAGATTTTTAAGTTTGGCGCCACGCCACGTCGCTAAATATGAGTTTTACACGGAAATGTGAATGGATCCTTCATTTAGGGTCCTAATTGATTCTAAAAAACATAGTGGGTACCCGGGACACGAACGACAGGTCGTGAGTGTCCCTTGTAAGCTGATTGGTTGCACGTGTATTTCCATCACAGGGTAATTGATAATTTACTAACAGAGGGGGCGCAGACTATGCTAAACCCAGCTTAGTTTTTGCTACCTCAATGTGAAGGAGTGACAATTTAGAAAAAACATTTAGATACATACATTCGTAAAAAAGCATGGTTTAGTATCCGCAGAATTATGCATATTTCCCGTCCCCAGCCCAGCGATTGAGTAAATCCACCCAACCAAATCCTTAATACCAACTTTGACTTGATAAATTGTAAATTGTACTCTGGTTTGAGAATACATAGTTACCTACTTTAGAATTAAGAGTGACTTTATTTTTCAAAAGGGTAACATTACTTTTCACGAATTAAATATTTCAAATGGAAAAATTCCAAGTTAACAAGGCAACTTTTATTCCATAGATTGTATTCCAACAACCCACCAATAGATATAGGGGAACACCACTGGAAAGAAAGTTGTACAAAATTTCTACAAAATTTGGCCAACGCTGTGTAAAAAAAAGGATGACGCAACCGTGGCTTAAATTTTACTCAACCGAGTAATCTTTTGCTTTGGTGAAAATGCACATTTCGCACGTAAAATCACCCATAGCCAATTTTTTATCGCAACAGTTTGCACATGGCTGAGACTGATTTCAGTTAACCTACCTGCACATGTATGGATGGAATCTGTGTGGAAACGAAGCACTGTTTAATAAACAATGTTTATTTATAGCACACACACACACATGCCAACTGTGGGACATGAAGATGAGAAATACTTCTCAGAAGCAAAGCAAAAACAGATTCGTTCGTAGTCAGAATTTGTTCGTACCCACATATTTTTTTTCTTTGCTACTTGAACTTGACAAGAGCTCTTGTTTACCAAAATTTACCAAATTAATTCAATTCGGATATTAATTTAATATTAAAAATCGCTAAAGCCTTATTTTTTAAATTTAAACGGGAGACATGTTCACCTCGAAGAGGGACGAATGTCAAGTAAGGGATGTTTTTATACTATTTATAATACTAAATTACTTATGTACATTCTTTTTTTGAAGGTGGGAGAAGATTTTATTCCTTGTCGTGATGACGGCCCATTTTCCTCTGGTTTTGTGGAAGATGTATGTAAAACTAGTTTCTATCAGTGTTTCTTTTGTGCGCATGAAATTATTTTTATGAATGCGCGATGCATAAAAATGCATAAAATGCATGAAATGCATAAAAATGCATGAAATTCATTTTATGCAGGGAATTTCATATTTTCAAGAAATTTTCTATTTTCTTGTCATGTCAAATGAGGGAGAGATTCGGTTATTTCAAACCTTTCTGATTTGCAACCTTATTACACCATTTTCTAAATATTAAATTGTGCAGATATTTTATTGCAAGGCAAAATTTTTTGATACTCAAATATGAAGATGATGATGTAAATACCCTAAAATTTTACAACGACTTGTTAGTCAACCAATTATTTAGAAAAATTGCAACATTACAACATTATTTGCCCTTAAGTGATTTTTGTGCATTTTTGTGCATTTTCATGCACTTTCTCAGATTTTTAGTGGGTGTTATTTAAAAACATTTTCGTACACTAATTTCGTGCAGGTGTTACTTAACAGCCGAAACACTGGTTTCTAAGCTCCAGTAGAAAATAACTCGAAAACTGATTGAAAGAAAACTTGTCTCTCTTAAGTGTCTCAATCAGGGCTGCAACGGGTATATGTATGGTGACGTGAGGGTTAATGAGATTTAACGATATATCAGCAATCAGGTCGAGTACACATTCTCTGCAGAGATTTATCAGCATCTTTTGCTTATCCAACATACATAATTTGAGTACAAATTCCAATTTTTCTTCAAAATCTCATTTTTTTCAAAATTACACATTGTGTAAAAAGAGGTAAAATTCTTTCAAAATTTCAATTTTTTAAATTACCTTTTTCCAAATTTCAAATCATTTTCAAAATTTTGTAGTTTTTTTTCAAAATCTTGAATAATTTCGATAATTAAAATTTTTGATATCAGACATACGTATATGTAAAACATTATTGCGCATTAAGTATGTGAAACATTAAAAAAAATTGAGGTTGTCCAAATTATTTGAAATCAGAAAATTCTTTTAAATCTCTTCAGAGAATTTGTATTCGATCTGAACCTCCAATATGGCCGTTACCGTCACCTCGTCACAAATATCGTCACAACTTGACGAAAATTAAAAGTGAATTTTACACGGAAATTCCTTCAGCTTGTTACTTAAGTCGTATATTGGGAATATTTTTGGTTCAGGTGGGAACCCTGGACTCGACCGGCACCGTTCTCTTGGGCCTTACAAGGCGACGGTGTGAAGTGGAAGTCTCTTATTTGGCTGAAACTTCAAAATTGAGTGGTCCAAGTCAATACAACCAACATTTCTTGAGGCAGTTTGTGCGATGGTTGGGATTTGGCCAAATATTTGAGGTCAAAGTTGAAAAAATACGATTTTTCCCTTTGAAATGAATGGAAGTGAAGTTTGCTTCCTCCTCTTGTTTAAAATCACCTATTTTTCCAACTTTGACCTCAAAAATTTTCGCACAAACTCCCTCAATAAATGTTGGTTGTATTGACTTGGACCACTCAATTTTTAGGTTTCAGCCAAATCTGAAAGTTGCACTTCACACTATCGAATTGTTAGTGAGAACTAATTAGTTATATTTGTTGTGCATGACGTCGTCTGCTGGATGTCGCTAAAACCCGTGCCATAATTCTCACTATTTCTCATTACGTCTCACCGACAAGGGAACCTCAACTACTGTCCCATCTCGATTTTCTTCGGAATAGCCTTAATCCACAGATAATTTGGTCGTGAAACTATAACTTTGTAATAGAACATATTGTGTAAAATTGCCTTAAAAATGAAGTATTTGGCGAGGACTGCACCAAAACCTGCCATTTGCCCAATGCTTTTAACATAGCCACTAGCCTTTCGAATTTTTAAATTTTTCATTATCTTTTTATAGAAACTTAAAAATTGTCACACATATCCATACGAATAAGGAAAAAGCCACTTTGTTGAACAATTTAAAATTACAGTAAACACCGCAATTTTTTGAACCTTGCAAAAATAAATATCGCAAACAATTTCTAAAAATCCTTAAAAATAGACTAACATTAGTTATTTGAACTTCTCTTCATGAAGAGCTCCGGACTTCCATTTCAGAACGTAGAAATTAGCGGCGAACAAGTATTTATCTAGAGATTATTACTTTTCGGTGATAAATTGTTACCAGAGTAACATAGTACCTCCGGCGGTAGCATTCACATCCAAAAATTACTGAGAGTGTCAAACTTCTATTTTCGTGTTCACAGGTAATTCCTCATGTCTGCAAATTCCTCGGGATCCAAGACATCAAACACTGCCGACTAGTCTGCAAATCCTGGAATTACGGTGCTACTTCCGTTCTAAAGAACAAGACAATAATCATAATTCCACTTTACCCTAAAAAAAGCGATTCAGCCCATACCGAAGACGAGACCAAGGACAAGCTGACATTCTCCCACACCAATGTCTGTCTAGTAATGGGAGGTCACCAATCCATGGATCCCAAAATCTTTGACGAGGTCACAAATCTAAAATCAATTGTTGTCCGTTCCTCTACTAAAAAACCGTTGCAGAAGGACTTGTTTCACAAAATTATACTGAATTCGGCCTCCACTCTGAAAACTTTCATCTTTGGAGGTGGAGAGAGCTTAGAGTTCCCCTCATTTCGTGGCGTCGTTCTCCCGAAATTAACACATCTCGCCATATATCACTTTTGGGATGAGGGATCGCAAGATATCGAAAGAATTGGTCACGCCATCACGGAAGCGTTCCCAGCTTTACAACATGTCAAAATAGCCTACCGCTACATGCCTGGATTGTCAGAGATGAAATTCCTCCCAAAGTTTCCCACGTACGTAAGCACGGTAAAAATTTTGGATTTCTACGTGATTTGGCCAGGGATATTCACTTGAAATTTACGTGAGTCTGAAATTCAAGTGATCACCTAAATTCCATAAAAAACGGCCAAATCGCAGCGAAAATCACTTGAAAATCCGAAATTTCTACTTTTCCTAGTGCCATGAAATTATTGAAAGCACACTTTCAATAATTTTTGGATATGCGAATGCTACTGGCGGAACTACTAAATTTGTGACTCCGCACTGGAAATAATTCATCACCTAAGGGAATAAATACTAGCAGGCTAAGTGATATGCATACATCACGAAGGAAGTGAGATTAACTGAGATTTAATGATCAATGTGGTTATTCACATCAACCTCGCAAGCGTCGTAAACGTCGCTTCGCAACATATCTTCGCAAGTTTGCGAAGAGTTGCGATGCGACAACCTATGAAATTGCTTTATTTTTTTGCGAAACATGCGACGCAATGTAGAATCTATTTACGCCGTAAACTATTTTTCGTCGTCAAGCAAAATTTTTTTTTCTCCTCTAATTTTCAGATTATTTGTGAAATATATTTTGATTCAAAACAAGTCGTTCACGACACCCATTCCGCAAACACAGCAAAGTTGCGATGATGTTTTTTCCTAAGCGACGTTTTTTAGTGACGTGAATACCCACAATGTTAATCATCTCAGTTGTGCGTGGGGGAGAAATAATGTGACATTTTTGTTCTGGATTAAATCGGTCGTTAGGTGGCGCTAGGTCATGCCTCACAAATCTTACTATTTCCCATCATAGACATCTCACGTACAATGCGATGGTGTGAAGTGCGAGTCTCCGATATGGCTGAAATTTTAAAATTAAGTCAAGGTCCAAGTAGATACAATCAACCTTTCTTAACGCAGTTCGTTCGATGGTTGGGATTTGTCAAAATATTTGAGGTCAAAGTTGAAAAACGACCGATTTTTACCAAGCAGAGGAAGTAAATTCCACGTCCATGGTTCTTAAGGGGAAAAATCGCCCAATTTTCAACTTTGACCTCAAATATTTTGACAAATCCCAACCAGCGCACAAACTGCGTCAAGAAAGGTTGATTGTATTTACTTGGACCTTGACTTAATTTTAAAATTTCAGCCAAATCGGAGACTAGCACTTCACACCATCGCATTGTGAGATGAGATGAGTTCTGCCACCATGGGCTAAATCCTTCCCAGTCGCTAATGTCCCGGGTCAGGAAATAAAATTATCACCGAAACTGTTACCTCGCTTGGCAAATCATTCCACCAATTATTACCGTGGAGTCACATGTGATACAACCACCTGTAACATTTACACATATCCAAAAATTATTATCCCAAATTACTTCAATCATTGGTACAGAAATTATTCCTAAATTGTACCCTTCGTTCATCCTGAGCCACCATTTTAAACAAATTTGAAACGATTCTTGTTATAAAGTTGTAGAAAATGGCATAATACAAAAAACAGCGGTGTCCAGTAAAAAAAAAACTTAGTAATATTCTTAATTGATTTTCAGATCAGTAAATTCCCTGGAATTACATGAACTTTTGGACATCAATCGGATGAATTGTCTGCTGGAGTTTATGAATCCTTTAAAGACACTTAAATTTAGTTCGACTTCGTTTCAAGATCTTGTGGACGATTTGCCCTTGCTTTTCTACAAATTTTTGAAAAAACAATCCCCCACATTGGAAAAACTTTGTTTACAAGTATCTGTAAACAGGATAGATAAACTAAAGCTGGACTGGATTTTTCCTGCATTTCCGGTCATGCAAAACTTGACGATTTGTAACAGTGATATGTTTGCAATCCTTAAATTTGAAATTACGCCGGGAACTTTTGCACAGATTGATTACAAAATTTGTCTCCCAGTCTTGCAAATTTTGCGAGTTTGTAGGACTTACAGCATTCCCAACATGGCCCAGGATTTGTCCTGTATGGCGGGATTTCTTCCGTTGAAAGGCGATAACGCAGGTCCGGTCGTGGTGGAGTCAGTGAAAGTAGTTGACCTCTACATTTTGGACAATACCTTGACAACCGACTGCAATTCAGCGAAGGCTGACCTTAGCAACCAATTGTTGAAAATATTTCCAAACGCGATGGGTTCAATCAAAGATATGTGGGAATTAGTGGTTTGATAAATTTATCAATATTTGCAAATAAGAGTTACCTACATATTTAATTGATTAATTGTGCTAAATAAGTAAATATGCAAATATTAATTATTGTGTCTGCCATGCCACCATGCTTATGGCCCTATTAATAATGCTTCCTTAGGGTGAGGAAAGGTCGAGCGGCTCCTTAATTTATATAAACAATGAAAACTTAGGCCCTCCTCAACCTCAACCTCACCTTGACCTCAGTTGACCCTCAACCTCAGCCTCACCTCAGCTCTTCCATATAATTAATGAAAACTTTAGGTTGACCTCAACCTCAAAACATGAGTTTTCCTCGAAATTTTCAAGGTAGCTCACCTAGCTTCCTTAACGTCAACTTTGGTGTAAATTTATCGTTGTTTTTGCAATTAAAACACTATTTTTGGCTGAAATGCCATGTTCACGGTTAGCAAATTTTGATTATCGTCGGGAACGACAAATCCGGGTCGCAAAAATTCCTTTGACCAGACTACGCGACAGGCAAAATCCTCTCGAGTGGTTTAATGCTGTAGAGTTCAAGATACGTTATCATATGTACAAGGAGACTGCAATTTTTATTACTGATCTTATCAGTCAGGACTTATCTTACCGAGTGCCTAGAGGTGTGTATATTCCACCCGTAATTCAGTTCTTGACCGTTCTCCGATTTTACGCCACGGGTAATTTCCAAACGGATAACGCCGACTTGCACCAAATGTCACAGCCAACAATATCCAATCTGGTGAAACGGGTTTCAAAAGCAATTGCCAAACTTCGTGGTCGCCTTATCCATTTTCCAAGCTTCCAAGAGGCCGATAAAGTGCAACAGGAGTTCTATAAAATTGCTGGATTTCCGGGTAAGCCTATATATTGCATATAAAAATTAATCATAAAACGCACATTCTTATGACAGGAGTAATTGGGAGTATCGATTGCACACACATACACATTATATCTCCTGGTGGCGATGACGCTGAGCTGTTTCGGAACCGGAAGGGTCGATTTTCAGTAAATGTACAAGCCACGTGCGACGCCTCGTTGTGTTTCACTAATGTCGTCGCTCGATGGTACGGCAGTGCCCATGATTCTAGGATTTTTGAAAATTCCCTGCTATTTGATGACTTGCAAAATGGCCGATCCCCAGGTCTGTTGGTGGGCGACGGAGGATATCCACTCCTCCCTTTCCTCCTGACCCCATTTGAACCGCCAAGGACCCCGTCGGAATAGCGGTATTTTATCTTGCATTAAATAATATTAACTCATATATTATCACTTATATTTAACAAATATGTAGATATAACTATGCGCAAATTCGAACACGCAACACCATAGAAAGGGCCTTTGGAATTGTGAAACGCCGCTTTCCTTGCTTAAAAAAGTTGCGCATCAAACTTAACACCAGCTTAATTGTTATCGTAGCGGTCTCGATTCTGCACAATATTTGCAGGTATTTATATTGATATAAACTTTATTCTGGAGAACAACAAATTTAACAGGTTTTATCTTTCATAGAAAACGACTTGACATTTATGATAACGATCGGACGGAAGATATCGATGAAGACGTCGAGCTGATTGGCGAAGAGGCATCACACGTCGCAGGAAGGAATTCCGGTTCTGGGCGACTTTTTAGATCTGCATTTGTGGAAAAACATTTTTAGTTATGCGCACTCATTTAAACCATGTTAATTATTTATTTTTGGGCACCTACGAGTATTGTGGTCCCTCCATCGATTTCAAGTTTTGAAATTAATAATTTAACGTCTAGCTCATGTTTCTCTGTGATATGTCGAATTTCCAGTTTAGCCTTTTCCACTCGTAACTGTTCCGCTTCATGTGCCAATACCAACGTCTTAAGTCGCAATTTGTGCTCCTCGTACTCCCAATCAATGAGAGCAGATCTAGCGTCACGGTTTCGACATCTTTCTAGTAATAAGAGAAATTATATTCTTTAGTTTTATGTAATTCATAAAAATGTGCAATGTTATATGCAATACAAATGTAACTTTTACTTTTTGGCTGTACGATCTCTAACTCATGTTCTTCGACATTTTCGGCTTCCAGTCCAAGCTCCTTACGCTGCTCTGTTATCCATTTGTCGCAGTCAAAGTCGTTTTCCAAGGGTTTCATCTGGGAAGGTATTATAGATGAGACTTTTTCGCTAAAGTCTGGAACGGGAGGAGGTGGTGATCCACCACCAGTTTTGCGCTTTTGATGCTGATTTTCTGCAATCTGGTGACGATAATAGTGCAAAATATGAATAATAATCCTAATGATATTAGTGGTAATAATGGTAGTAATTTTAGCAATGACAAAAACTTACATCCTTTTTGGCTCGAAACTTCAGATTGTCCTACTTTTTTTGTAACTGATCTTTCGTGCGTTTATTAACTTCCGCCGAAGAGTTAAATTCAATAGTTAGCTCATCCCATATTCATATTTTGCACTATTATCGTCACCAGATTGCAGAAAATCAGCATCAAAAGCGCAAAACTGGTGGTGGATCACCACCTCCTCCCGTTCCAGACTTTAGCGAAAAAGTCTCATCTATAATACCTTCCCAGATGAAACCCTTGGAAAACGACTTTGACTGCGACAAATGGATAACAGAGCAGCGTAAGGAGCTTGGACTGGAAGCCGAAAATGTCGAAGAACATGAGTTAAAACACTAAAGTAGTATAAAACTAAAACTAACACTAAACTAAAACTTATAAAACTAAAGAATATAATTTCTCTTATTACTAGAAAGATGTCGAAACCGTGACGCTAGATCTGCTCTCATTGATTGGGAGTACGAGGAGCACAAATTGCGACTTAAGACGTTGGTATTGGCACATGAAGCGGAACAGTTACGAGTGGAAAAGGCTAAACTGGAAATTCGACATATCACAGAGAAACATGAGCTAGACGTTAAATTATTAATTTCAAAACTTGAAATCGATGGAGGGACCACAATACTCGTAGGTGCCCAAAAATAAATAATTAACATGGTTTAAATGAGTGCGCATAACTAAAAATGTTTTTCCACAAATGCAGATCTAAAAAGTCGCCCAGAACCGGAATTCCTTCCTGCGACGTGTGATGCCTCTTCGCCAATCAGCTCGACGTCTTCATCGATATCTTCCGTCCGATCGTTATCATAAATGTCAAGTCGTTTTCTATGAAAGATAAAACCTGTTAAATTTGTTGTTCTCCAGAATAAAGTTTATATCAATATAAATACCTGCAAATATTGTGCAGAATCGAGACCGCTACGATAACAATTAAGCTGGTGTTAAGTTTGATGCGCAACTTTTTTAAGCAAGGAAAGCGGCGTTTCACAATTCCAAAGGCCCTTTCTATGGTGTTGCGTGTTCGAATTTGCGCATAGTTATATCTACATATTTGTTAAATATAAGTGATAATATATGAGTTAATATTATTTAATGCAAGATAAAATACCGCTATTCCGACGGGGTCCTTGGCGGTTCAAATGGGGTCAGGAGGAAAGGGAGGAGTGGATATCCTCCGTCGCCCACCAACAGACCTGGGGATCGGCCATTTTGCAAGTCATCAAATAGCAGGGAATTTTCAAAAATCCTAGAATCATGGGCACTGCCGTACCATCGAGCGACGACATTAGTGAAACACAACGAGGCGTCGCACGTGGCTTGTACATTTACTGAAAATCGACCCTTCCGGTTCCGAAACAGCTCAGCGTCATCGCCACCAGGAGATATAATGTGTATGTGTGTGCAATCGATACTCCCAATTACTCCTGTCATAAGAATGTGCGTTTTATGATTAATTTTTATATGCAATATATAGGCTTACCCGGAAATCCAGCAATTTTATAGAACTCCCGTTGCACTTTATCGGCCTCTTGGAAGCTTGGAAAATGGATAAGGCGACCACGAAGTTTGGCAATTGCTTTTGAAACCCGTTTCACCAGATTGGATATTGTTGGCTGTGACATTTGGTGCAAGTCGGCGTTATCCGTTTGGAAATTACCCGTGGCGTAAAATCGGAGAACGGTCAAGAACTGAATTACGGGTGGAATATACACACCTCTAGGCACTCGGTAAGATAAGTCCTGACTGATAAGATCAGTAATAAAAATTGCAGTCTCCTTGTACATATGATAACGTATCTTGAACTCTACAGCATTAAACCACTCGAGAGGATTTTGCCTGTCGCGTAGTCTGGTCAAAGGAATTTTTGCGACCCGGATTTGTCGTTCCCGACGATAATCAAAATTTGCTAACCGTGAACATGGCATTTCAGCCAAAAATAGTGTTTTAATTGCAAAAACAACGATAAATTTACACCAAAGTTGACGTTAAGGAAGCTAGGTGAGCTACCTTGAAAATTTCGAGGAAAACTCATGTTTTGAGGTTGAGGTCAACCTAAAGTTTTCATTAATTATATGGAAGAGCTGAGGTGAGGCTGAGGTTGAGGGTCAACTGAGGTCAAGGTGAGGTTGAGGTTGAGGAGGGCCTAAGTTTTCATTGTTTATATAAATTAAGGAGCCGCTCGACCTTTCCTCACCCTAAGGAAGCATTATTAATAGGGCCATAATATTCATTCATTTATTCATACATAGATAAATTTTAAGAAATTATTCACTCAAAAAATAATTATTCAATATTGAACATTCATCAAACCCTTATATTCTCAATGTGCAACATTTTCGTACATATTTTAGCATAGTGTGAAAATAAAATAATGCAAAAAAGTGAATATTATTCACGCTTCATTCGTGTGAACTGAATCAATCTTGACGCATTTATTCTCTCGAAAATTTAAAAAAAATGACAAAAAGTTCATTATTCACTCATTATTTTCTTGAATATTCACTAACTCAGGAGTAGGGTGTCAGAGGTTGTTAGTCCCCGATTGTGATGTCCTTTGGATATGTTGTAGAACTATATGTATGAGTGTGCAAAAATTTAAGGAGGGTTAGACTCCATGAGCTCATTTAACACCAAATCTCATTTAACGCCACACCCTCTCAAAGGCGCCAAAACCACGATAATTACCGCACTAAATCATCCCAAAAATCGAGTATTGCTGAGATTTGGATGAAATTTACATTTTTGTCATCCAAGATAGTTGCTCCACGAATATTTCTTTGGAAACTTTAAATACGACTTTTGACCCAATGTTGTTGTTAGTTTTGCCTGATTCATCATAAACTGAATTTTTGGATGAAAGGGAAATGAGGTAATTCTGATATGCACTTTTGCAAAAGATTTAAAAATAGTTAAATTATTTCCAATTTTGCTGTTGAGGCTTTGACCATTTTTTTTAGATTTCCCTTTGAATCGCATTGCAATACACTATATGGAAAGGTCATAAGAATGTGCAATGCTTCCGCTCTATTTCCAGTTATACATTTATCTATAGCGGATTTTAGAACATGGGCTACGGGAATTCTACAATAAAAGTATATTGGTTACTGGCATTAATTTTATATGTGCCAATTATTTTTGGCAGTCGTATCACAGCTTTAATTTCATATTACGACTTCATGCTAGTTTTCACACTGTTCTTGCTGAATCTAGGTATTTTATGGATCCTTTTTTGCTTTTTAAATTGAATCCATTATGCAATTAGTTTTCATAATAAAAAAAACACCTGGCTGGCGGCCTATATAGCTTACATGCGAATAAATCTGTCTGATTGTTTATCATGCCAGTCAAAAACAAATTTCTTGAAACGCAATCCTCATTCCTTGTTTATTTGCTGTTATGGTAATTAATTACTCCCCATCATAATATCTGTCGCATCGCAAGTATGTTCGGTGTCTGATCGATATAAAAACAGGAATCGTCTCACAACTCAACATCAACCAACCACCTTTTTCCCGAGAACAACTCTAATACATTTTTACTACAGACGTAATCCTAATGAAGAATATGGGCCTACTTCTCACCTCTTTTGTCATCATCATCACCATAACGGTGACAATAAATGTGGGCGACGCAAGTGCACAAAAATCATTTATTTTTTCTATTTAGTATCTAAGTATAATCCTTTTTCTAAATCCCTTTTCAAGGCTGCCCCTCAATTTGGCGGGGGGTCCCTACTTGGGTTACGTAGAGGGGTGCATATTGTCATTCCTGGCGATATGTTGCCAAGAAGGACATTGCGAAGGACAACTCTGCTTTTGTTCGACGTGTGAACATGATAAGGCCTAACAATGGAGGTCTCCCGACGTATGCTCACAGATTTGGACCAAACTAGTGTCAATAGATCACAAATATGATTAGGATGAAATTTGCAAATGGCACTATCTCCCAATGCGCAGGTTTTGCGGAGATATTTGCATCCAAAGCGGGAAAAATGCACAGCAAATTTGGAAAATGAAAAATTTGCAGGCCGATGGGGTGCATTTTCTCCTCTTTTTATCCAAATATCTCCGCTAAACTTGAGCATTGGCAGATAGTTCCATTAGCAAATTTCATTCCAATTATATTTGTGATCGATTGACGCTAGTTTGGTCCAAATCTGTGAGCATACGTTGGGAGACCTCCATTGTAAGTGTTCGTATCAAGAAGAAAATGATCATCTATATTTTTCTTGAGAATTCTTTTTCTCCAAGATGTTAGACTTTTTCTTAAGGAATCGCTAAATTGATAAATATACATATTTGTGTACTATTTTTGTCTCTAATGAAAATTAATAAGTCGACTTGAAGTAGTCAAAGTCAAAAACTATGTATGTTGCTAAAATTACTTTTTCGTCGTGACACGTATTTATATACGCATGATTACAATTAATTATTTGAACTTTTCGTGATGGAAAAAAATTATGTAAAAATGAAAATATATTTGTCATACTGCTTTACTATTTTGATGCTATCCCTTATAAACATGTGCACGTAAGTAATTCTACGGCATTGCAATGAGTTGTTTAATGCAACGTATATAATCAAGTTTCTGAAAAATTTTCATTTCTTTTGACGACTACATGAACCGGGACCTTAACCCCACTGGAACTTGAATCCTTACCTGACCTCGCCACTATCAGATCTGAAGGTGAGGATACCAGTGCCCTCAATAAGCGTGAGGGGAGGAATAGTTGTTCCGCAAAATCTGAAAATAATATTTTTTAATGCTCGTTTTTATTTTTAGCATATATTCAAATATTTGCAAGACCAAATTTTGCATCATTCCAGAAAACTTGTTAGTCACCTTCACATAATTGTTATCGAACCAATTTAAACCGAGTCGTACGAGCAGTTTCATTCGTACTCGAGGTCCACAAACGTGAATCTTAAAGTAGGACTTCCCGGAATGGAGGGGTCGATAATGAACATGGCATTCTCGCACCGTCGATAGGGTATGAATAATTTAAGCATAATTTTGCTAAAGGTCAGTTCAGCATACCCGGTCAGTATTGGGCCGATGTATGAACAGGATGAGAAATACGTCAAAGAAAATCCTCTCGTCGGACCGTGACCTTAAGTTAAGGTCACGACGACCTAATCGCTACGAACTGTATAATTCTGACCAATGGTTGAGCTAAAAAATATACTTAGTTTCGGCCTTTTCCAATTCCAACCTTAACATGAGAAGCATAGAGTTGAGACGCAAAAAGCGTGAAATCGCACATCCCCCTTACGTGGAGAACGCCATTTTCTTATTGGACAACAAACGGAGAAGGCGCTTTTGTTATTTAACACAAAATGACAATGGCTCTTTTCTTAGTTGACAGCGAATGGCAATAGCTCTTTTCCATTATTCAACGACGATATTAAAACTTGGCTTGTTCATAGCTGTCGAGTTGTGGAATGAATTCCGATTTTGTATCGGTCTGACGCCGACCGTACATATGCACACTGGTCCGGAATGATGATTTCCTTGGCCAAAACCTCTAATCACCGATTCGAAAACAAACTACCCTCCTTAGTACCTTTAACATAGAGGAACAATTATGGAAAGTTTCATTCAATTTGTTCGATTGGGTATGGAGAGGCGTTTGGACAAATTTGCCTTATAACATTGGGTTAAATAGGAAAAAATTCAAGTTGAAAATCCTGTCTAGTCCTGTGGTATTTCGAGGAACCGAAAGCGTATTGTTAATCCCACATATCTCATCTACAAAACCTGCTGCTACCAGCTGCTACCATTGCGAATAGTCACAGAAATTTAAATTAATAAACAGGCAAATTGGCATGAGCAAAATATTTGGAGTCCCGTAATCATAGGCTAGTAAAAAAATTTTCCAGTGTTCCAAACAACACAATTATTTCAGAACATCTTACTCATTGTCCTAGGAAGGGACAATTGTAAAATACACCCCTCTAAAAAATTTATTACGCTGGGGGACATCCAATGAAGCTGGGGCCCCATTTGGAGGCACGACAAATTTTTTGATTTTTGTCCCATTTTCTGTGTTAATGAGTTCAGAGGGATGAAATACTTCACAAAACTACAGAATGTTATCATTTGATGAAAATGTATACTCAGATTTGTCGAAGCAAAAATTTCAAATTTGCAAGTTAACCACACCCCCAGACGGTGGGTGTGCCCCCACTGTACTGATATTATCCAGAATTGTATAGACATTGATGAGAGCTTTAATTTGACATCCCACATGATGGGGTAACGTGATAAAACAATTAGTTACCTTTGACCACACCCCCCGATGGGTGTGGCTTTTAGTTAAAATTGCGTAACTTAGACGCCTTAGACCCTCATACCTTAATTCCCGAAAGCAGAATTCGAAAAAATTGAGTTGTTCGAGAGTTATAGATTTTGGCCAATAAATCATTTAATCCGGACCAGTGTGATATGTACGTGCGATTCATCACACGTCATGATAATTTTTAAATTTATAACAAAACCAATGACTGTTGTGCTAAAATTGTTTTTATTCATTTCGATGAAAAATCGTTACAAATAGATCAACAAGTAAGCTCGCCTTTCCCATAAATGCACTACACTTCAATTGATATCAAACAAATTGGCAACAAATATTATGCTGCCGTTCAATCGAATTCATTAAACTTAACAATAACAAGACACCTGCCAATATATCGCCTACGTGCATATATCTCTAGCTTTAACAATTTGCCAGTTCAGTTAAGTAAAAAAAACAACAATTTTTAACCTCTATTATAGTTTCCTCCAGTTAAATTTTTAAGTATTTGCTAATTATCCTAATTAGATACACACCTTCATCACCATACACTTGTATTTAATTTTGTCTCTGATGCAGCCCACTTACTATCGGCGACAGATCGATATAAAATCAAAAATAGTCCCAAAACTAGCCAAAAACAATCCAATAGAACCAACACACCTCTAAAAAAAACATTTAAATACTTCAGGCTTTCCCATCGTGCTGAACATGGGCCGGCTGCTCGCCTCCTTTTTCATAATCCCCACGATAATGGGGGCAATCAATCTGGGCGACGTAAGTACACAAAACTAAGGTTGCCGCGGGTAACGGGCCGGGTACCCGTTACCCGCATACCCGCACGATATTGCGGGTACCCGTTTGTCTGCGGGTAGTTACTACTACCCGCACGGGTAACGGGTATTTTGATTTTACATAATTAAATAGCTCGCCTTGCGCAGCGAGAGTGAGCAGTTGATTTATATAAGAGTTATATATCTACTTTGACAATTTATTTCGCATCATTAATGCAGAATTTAATCATGGTTGATAGTGAGCGTCATTTTTCAGGAATTCTGCGACAGTTTGAGTGCAAAACTAACAATGAACTGGTGCGAATTGCAACACTCACAATTGTCAAATTGTGAGATTTGAAATTTTGAATTTCAGGAAGCTTATTTCAGGAATTTGAGGAAGCTTATTTCAGGAATTTGAGGAAGCTTATTGTGGGATAGTAAGAATTTATCAAAAATTTTCAAGTCAAATTTGAAAAGGGAGCGATTTTTAACAAGTGGGGAAAAATCCACTTCCTCCCCAATAAAAATCGTTAATTCTTCAATTTTGGTCCCAAATATTTTGACAAATTGTCCTGCATTCAGTTGAACGACACAATTCCAAAATTTAAACAAAATCGGAATGTTGCATTTCACACCATTCCATTATAAATGGGTTATCTTTAATGGACCATAATTAAATACTGAAACTAACCATACTAACTCATTCATTGACCAATACTGGCTTTACTCATAAAGAAGAACCAGATCGTCCATAAGTATTTAATTTGACCATAAAAAATCATCAAATTTAAACAGCATTACCGCTGACAAATACGCTTCAACTATGTACAATTTTAAAATTTTTAATCAGTAATTAAGGCTTTTGATGTTTTTGATGGTCTTCCATCCTTACGTTTCTCTTCAATGGGTAAGCGCTTAGCTTCAGGGGGTTTGCAATGATTTGTCAAAGAAGACAGCTAGTGACCGACTTATTAGTTTGTAGAAAATTATTTAGCTGCCGTTTTGAAAGGCAGCCTGTCGTTCGTGTCCAGGGTCCCCACTATGTTTTTTGAATCTACCAGGACCCCAAATGTAGGATCCATTCTTATTTCCGTGTAAAACTTATATTTCGCGCCGTGCTTTGGCGCCAAACTTAAAAATCTTCGTTTTCGACCATTTTCAAACCTCCATAACTTTTGCAGTTTCTGTGGGATTTTCAAAATTTTGGACTTAAAATGATCACAAAGATCAAGATTTGAAGAAAAAAAATAAAAAAATGTAAAATTTTAAATAAAGCTAGTTATATCGTTGATAATTATATCCAGCAATTTGTTGTAGCACTCTCTCGAGGTTCTTATTAACCTAGAATAGTAACTAATTAATTAAATCTGTGTTATTTTGGTAGTTGGTTAATGTTTAACTGAATTCTCAAAACGGGTAACGGGTGACGGGTACCCGCACGGGTACGGGTAGTTGGGCTGCGGGTAGCAGGCCGGGTAACGGGTAGCATTTACGCTACCCGCGGCAACCCTACACAAAACCAATTAATTTTATTTATATGACAGATAATCTTAATTTTTCTACTTAGGCCGCACCTCAATTAGGAACTTGTAATTGGGAATCGACGTGCCCTTTGTCATGCCAGATGAAAGGTTGCAAATACGGATCGTGCTTTGGAGAAATCTGTAGATGCTCGTATTGTGAAAATAATACATCCGAACAACTGTCAGCATGATGCAGATGATTATCCAAATTTTTTAAAATATTTTTCATCCTAAAATACCGTAAAAACTCAAATAGGCTCAAATAGTGACCTTGCTCAAATAGTAGCCTTATGCTCAACCATGTTGTATCCGGGTCGCAGCTTTCAATTTTTTTTAATAGTAGCTCCCGGCTACTATTTGAGTTTTTACGGTAAAATAAGTCCCTGTTCGTAACAAGGAATAGCTAAATTTATACATCTGTACTCTGGAATCTGGAAATTGATAATGAGTAATTCTTAGAATATGTAACTTTCATTTTATTTATTTTGATAAAGTGCTCTTGCCCCTTACACTACAATTATTAATGCACATAGATCCTTCTTTCATCTAATTTCAAATGTACTCATTCTGAGTACTCAAACATTGTCAAATACATTTATATCTGCAAATATCATAATTTCTTAGAGCAATAGCACAAAACAAAAGACTTCAATCAAAAAAATCATGATGCAAATGCCACACCCCATCCCTAATATCACCATTGCTGATACAATCTTAGAATCCGTTCCAAGTCCTTTATCCTTTAAATTTTCTTGCATTTTATCGTTATCATAATCCTGAAATAATTTGGCTCTCTTAAACCTCCCATATAAACCCTCCCAATATCTGTATATGCCCGACGACATGAATATTTGCTGTCTTCTTATCAGATTTTCAGCTCGCCTCGAGTCACCTAAACTAAGCCACATCCATCCCTTCGGGTTAGTTCGAAGGACATCTTTCCCCTTAGCAAATCTTGCCCCAGACTTTTTTCCTTTATGGATTGCGTATGATAGAATTGCATTAATTCGATCACACGTATCAGCATACGCCACCTTCTTACAGTTCCACTTGGTCAAGTTGCCAAAGAAATGTTCAGGGTGATTGTACGCCAGCGGGAAAATGCGGGTATATCCAGTGTCCCTGTCCGCTTGCAAAGTTTGCATTGAAAAGTTTGCAATTCCGGCAGCCTTTGAGGATCGCAGGGTATGTAAAATGTACACAAGGTAAGGAACAACATAGCTGATGCCGGGATTTTCATAGAAATAAAACTCCTCTTCTTCAATGGGAAAATAAAATGTGAAATTCGTCAAGTCTGGGAACGACTTGAATCTACTCATTGGAAATATTGGGGTTATTACTTCCGTCGTAAATACAGCTTTCCACCCGGTCGTTAATATCAAACTGGACCAAATCCAGAGTGACAAAATCGCTACGTTAGCCCGAGACAGGGAACTCATCTGGATCGATTTTTCCACAAGGACACCCATCAGATCGATAAAAATTATCCAAAAAGCGTGAAATGATCGTCTCAGGTTTCCAACGATACTAGCAATGACGATAAGAAATGTTACAGTCAATCCCCAACAAGCTCCATCTAACGGTGAAATATATATCTTATAACTCAAGAGGGGCTGAATACCGTCACAAGTAACAAAATTGAATTCGATGGCTCCCACCAGGATTATAAACATATTACCATCTGCTTCCCTGAAATTTGTGATTGCACCTAATCGAGGAATATGATAGGATTGTCGGGCACTACAATCTGTATTAATGGAAGACAGGTTTAACCAAATTGCACCCTCTAATAAAATATAGTCGAGTAGTTGCGGAAGGGTGAAGATTTTTAAGGCATTTTTTGCCCGGGTAAAATACGACGAGTCAAATTTATCCATTTGATATTCTTTCCTTAAATACTCTTCTACCGTCTTAGAAGTCCATGACTTTTCTACTCTACCAAAAATTGAGTAACTTTTAGGTACAAAGAGACGACCTAAAAGTTCCGATTTTGCGTTAACGGAAACTGAGTTTTGCTCCATTATGACTAAACGAGCAAGAATTTTATGCCAACTGGTTTTTGTTGTCGTTCTCAACACTAATTTATGGTGTGTGGGACAGTGGATGCAAAAATAATGAATGGATGCACCATACGAAGGAATATTTCGAATTGCAAAAATCTTAAGGACTGCGTAAGCCTGAGTTCTGTCGAGGAACTTGGTAATTTGAGAAAACTTATGTCGAGGTACGACAACAATCAAAAATTTATATGATGTCGGAATTCGCGAAAACATCAAAGAAATGATAGCTAATTTACTAATTGCGGCTTTGTAACTGACATCGATAAATTTTGCCAGGTCAAAGTTGAAAACGTATGAGCATAAGGGGACTCTGGTGTATGGTGGAATACCAAATTTTAAACGGACAGGAAGTATCACTTCGGAGTAATTATTGTATGCTTCGTTATAGTCACTTGCAGAGAGAAGTAGGACTGGCTGCCTGAATAGAATAGTTGCCGACAAGTCTAAGTTTCTTAGTGGAAATGAATTTGGTTCACATATGAAGGTCGGGATGCAAATACTGAAAAATTGTAATAAATCAATCGCCGTTTCCATGGTGACCGGAGAATTTAATTTTGTGTTACACAGGTCTTACAAGTTGCGATAGACAGTTCAAAAATTCCCGGGGATTTGAGGCTTCCAATTTGTATAAATAGACAGCCAGCAAACAAAAAAGTACAAAAGAGTACAAAAGAGTACAAAAAATAACCGAATAATATTAACAAACTCGAATTTTGTGAAGAATGCTTCATGAACAACGTTTTAAAGATATCAGTAAAATAAATATTGGGGCCATATTTAGGTATTCCTTTGTTCTGCGAAGCTTCGAAATCTAAGCAAACAAAATTTATGGATGGATGTACGTAAATATCGAATAATATCTAACAAGGGACACTCATGACCTGTCGTTCGTGTCCAGGGTACCCACCACGTTTTTGAGAATCCACTAGGATCCTAGATGAAGGTTCCATTCATATTTCCGTGTAAAACTCATATTTGGCGCCGTTGTGTGGCGCCAAACTTAAAAATCAGCGTTTTCGGCCAATTTCAAACCTCTCTAACTTTTGCGGTTTTTGGGGGATTTTCAAAATTTTGGGCTCAAAATGATCGCAAAGGTCAAAATTTGAAGAAATTCATAAATAATGAATTTTTTTTTATTTTTTGGGCATTTTAAAGATTTTTTCGCCGAAATTCCATGTGTAAGAAAATCTCAAAATTTTGACAAAAATTGAAACAAACAATATTTTGAAAAACTTGATAGTATACGAAAGTCTTGTTCAGGATTTTTGGAAATTTTTTTGAATATCCGCCCAAAATTTCAAAAGTTATGGCGGTTTTAAAAATAAAAACCTATAAATTTGGCGAATTTGACGCCACCCCGACTGGAACATAACATTGATATAATATTATGCTAGTATTACGGTTGTTAAATTTGTGTTAATGTTGTATTTTGGTTAGAAAATCATGTTAAATCTTGGTTGGATTAATATTTAGGATTTAAATAATTTCCTAATATTGTATAAATATTTATGCAATAATAATCTGAATGTGCCGTGAAAACTGAATGTTTTGGGAATATTTTCGTTATATTGTATCATTAACTGGATATGAGGTTTCATATCTATTTCCCCAATGTTACAAGAATGTTATCGCATCATTTTTACGAAAAGTGGCGGTTGGGATTTTCTTTGTGCACTTCACTCACATTTCATTATTTATTTCATTACGATTGGGAACTTTGTAACTTTTTATAAGCTTACTAATAATTAAAATAATATATATGTATTCAGTCGTGGAGTTTCCTGATGAGGAGGCAGTTGAAGTTGTGCTCTCTGCCTGGGTAAATCCAGAGGGGACGTTATGTCGGTATCCGGATAAGACGGGTATAGGTGGTGTTACAAAATTAGTGAAAAATGGAGCACCAGTTCAAAATAATTGGCCCACATTTCGATGCCGGATTCTTAAAAGTTATGGTATGTCCTCAAATTAATTGGTTTTAATTAGTATTTTTAATTGCTGGCTTCATATTTATCCTTGTTTTTCACAGATGGATACTTAAACGCACGGGAGGCGGCTAATTTGGCGCAAGACACGTCAGCGCTCGAGTCTGACTCGACGAACCACCCACCGCTGAAAAGAAAGAAGAATCGCAAGTCCAAAAAGGTGTTAGAAGAAAGCGATTCGGAAGGCGAACACGCATCTCCGAATAAATTGCTAAAAAGTGCCGTTGTCGAGCCACTTTCGTGTCCATTACAGATAAGTAAGCTTATGAATACATTCTCATTTATTTTTAAATTAAAACACACTTTTATAATAAAGAGACCAAATGGATCAAGTGTAAAAGTAATAGAAAAAATTTCACATTTTAGCCTTCCCCACACCATTGGGCGAAACAGAGTCAGCAGATGTCCATGGTCTCCATTCCAGTCTGGGTTATCAAGGACCTAGCCCTAATCTATCAATTGGATTGGAAGAGTCTTCACAATTAGTGAATACAATTTACACAACCAGTGTACAGAATCTGGAAGTGGAATATGCGACAAAAGAAGATTTTACGAGTAAGAGTTTTAATATATATTAATCATTATTTAGTGTAGAATATATTATAAATTAATTTGAATTAAATTAATCGGTAAATTTGCATATTTTGTTTTTCCAGAGTTTCAAAAAGTAATTGTTCGGCAATTAGTGCAGGTTCAGCAGAATCAAAATGATATGAGTAGGAGTTTACTTTTGCTAAAAACAAGCGAGAGAAGAGAAGTGGAGGATTTTTCCACTCTACCACCCCATCCAGCTGGAACTGTCAGCGAACTCAAAGCAATTGAAGTCTTTTTAAAGGAAAAGGAAAATCTGAAGTTATTTGTGAGTAAAAAGGCCTTGACTTTACTAGCTTATCTGCATAAAAACGTTTAGATTGTTAAACTCATTGTTTTGTTTAGGCTTCCTCCCTGTCCTTAATTGGAGCCTCAACTACTGAATTACTCATTACGAGAATTCTTGAAAGATTTATGACATTGGAACTGGGTGCCAAATTTAGCAGAACTGGACTAGGGAAAAGCAAACTAGAATTTAATGCTTACACCAAACTCAATCTCGCAATAATTGGTAGGTTTGCATCAAATAATCGTAATCGGATGGTGCTAATTTGATATATGTAATTATTTTGTAGAATCTGTACGAGGTAACGACGGTTTTGAAAGAACAACGGAGGACGTTATAAACAAACTCATCGCTCGCTGGCTCCGGTTTGCTCCATTCAAAAAAACTGCCCGAAAGTGATTACAATGTCTTCTACTAGGAGTAAACGTCGCAAAATGTACAATTCGGTTCAAAAAATTCTTAGCGAAATTAATAATAATGGCGTAAATACGAGTAGTAGTATTAATGTAGAACCACAGACTAATAATATTGTAGAAGAATACGTAGAGCTAGATATATTTGAAGAATCAACGATCGAGTTTAATTTTGAG